GATGCATATGCATAGTGTCTACATTACTCTTGTTATTTTCCTTATCGAATTTTCAACAGTGAGTAAATTCTCAAAAAAATCTATTGTTTGATTGATTTTTTACACTATTTTAGGATTCAATTAAACTGTTTCCTATTCTGTTCCTAAATCTTGAAACTACAACGAAATAATTTGTATGTATCTGTGTAGTGGTTTTCTTAACAATTTAGAGATTAACAAAGGCAGTACCAAGAAGTGCTCATAGCAATGACAATAAGTCACTGTTTCGTGTGTTGACTTTGCCAATTACGACTCATATGTAAGTGTTACAAAGTTTTGTAAAAAAACTGTACTTTGCTAATTATTAACCCTCAAAAGTTTGTCTTATTGTTGCTTCTTAAACTTTAAACAAAAATTGCCAAAATTTAAGCTAATACTTAGGAACAGTTAAATTTGTTGCAGTGTTCAGGACATCAAAAAACCAAAAGGCACAAATTTGGCGAACGCACCTGTGAAAAATATAAGATTTAAAAAGTTTATAACCTCTCGCTTATTTCGTGGAGCAACTGTTCTTAGCAGGTTTTGGCTTAGACGATTTACTGTTTTTTTTAGGAAACAACTATGAGTTGATGGTTGACCGAATTTTGCATTTTATAGGGCACGACAACTTTTCTTCTGGCAGAAGAAATTGGCATCAGTTAGAACATTGACTCACTGATAAATATTGACTCACCAATTTGTTGTAGATGTTGGGAAGAAGTAGCAGTAGCGGAAAATTTGTTTCGACCGTGTTTTTTGCCTGTATATTGTTCATCTTGTGTTGTTTATATATTATGTTTGACTAAATGAACTTGTAGTAATCTCGCTAAGAATCAGTATTTCAAAGCTTTAGTCATAATTTCCTATGCTAAACTTATATATGGTAATCTAAAAACTCATTTTGCTTGTTGGCATAGAAAAGCTTTTTGAATATTACAATGACATACAGCGTATTCTGTAAACAATAATAAAAAAAAAAAGCTCTGAACAGTGATACTTCGTTAGTTGTTATTGAAGGCTTCGTACAAAGATTTGTTTATTTACCTCTCAGGAAAACTTATAGTGTTTATAATTTCACACTTAGGTGGTCAGCTTAAATCACAGGTGTTTCTTCTAACAACTGCACTGTATTCTGTGTTGTCGCTACTAAGTTTGAAGCCATAAATCAGATTTTTCTTGGTTTTTACTTCAAGTAAGAGCACAACAAGCGTCCAGCTTGAAAATAAATTGTTGATACACATAACAAACGAAATACTTCTTAGAATTATGTTGAAAGATTAGAAGTTTCATATTGTTGGTGAAAAATCACAACCTTGATTCTAGCATGGTATAGTTTACGGTGAGAAATCGACATGGTATTGACAGAAAAAAGCAAAAACAATTTAATATTTTAACTATTTAAACCTTTAACACTGTTCTAATTCTACCTGTTAAATTACCTTTTTTAACGGTGAAAATACAGTGGTAACACATATAGCCAAAATTTTCCTCTTGCATCTGACAAATATTAATTTCTTTGCTGTTTTTCTCACGCTTTTAACCAACACTTCAACTATTTGTTTAAGTAAATTTGAGCTCTTTATAAAAGAAAAATATAACAGCTTACTGATGGGAAACAATTTTTTTATAGGTTTTTCTGAGTCAAAAAACTCATAAAGATTCAGGTTTTTGAAAAAAATAGTTGTTAAAAAATACTAAAAAAAATTCGATAAATTTTTGTATACAAAAGGTGTTATCTCCGTATTTGCAAAAATATCATCTGCTATTTTGTAAACAACAGAACTTTTCTACCAGAAGAGAAATTTACTTCTCAATGTTTTTTTCAAAAACATCTGCAAATTTACTGACCTTTAATTGATATTTGTTCAGTTAAGTGATACAAAATAAACGATCATAACTTTGTAGCTTCAAAAGATCATTATTGAGCTGTACCAACAGTGCTGATAAATCAAGCTTTTAATAGTGCCCAAAAAATTACTTCTGATAAATTATTATACAGTTTAACAACCATCATTTTGATCTTTCTCACTTTTAAAAGAATCAGTAATAAATGCTTGTAAATACAGAATTATCTTGACGTAATCGATCACTGAAAAGAAAGTGAAATGTTCAATGAAGGAAAAGTATCTGAAATAGCAGTGCAGAAGCATAGATTACCCTCAACAGTTATTATAACTAATTGTTTTAAAACAAACTATAGAAGAAACTTTCTGTTAACGGCTTATTTTGTTTAGAACAGTAGAAAATTATGTTAATTATTTGCCGGAAGTTTGGCCATTTTGGGGAAATTTAGACGGTTAAGATAAACAAACTAAAAAATCAGCTAAAAAAAAAAAACAACAGCAATTTGAAATAATAGATGAACAAAGAAGAATTAGTTTTTAACAGTCTTTATTAGTTTTTTTTTCTTGATTTTTTCGTCAAAAGCAAAAAAAAATGTACTGAAAGTAAGTATCAAATTAGCCAGTTAAATTACTCCTAGAATGCAGCTTCAAAAAAGACCCATCTTTAACAGTTTTTCAGTTTAGAAGCGGCAATGTGTAACGGTTTACTTTCGTATTTGTTCCAAATGTTTAAAGTTCAAGTTCTAAACTATTGCAGCTGAAAAAGTTGATAGTTTTTAGACTAAAAATTACGCGAACCATTGGTCTTTATAAACAATATCAATAAATTTTTGTGCTTATATGCAGGTTGGCATGAGGCTAATATACTGGTCTGCTGCAGTCATAATTCTGATTGATAAGTGTTTATTAACAATGAAATTCCTGTTGGACTATCCCATAGAATTGCATTTCTGTTATAATTAACAAAACAGTTAAGATACGTTTTTTCCTTCTCTTCCTCTTCTCATTTTATCTTATGCGCTAAACCAGATTCTTCTAAAACTGATTATTAGCGTATTGAAGACTGAAATCAAATTTTTTTACTTGTTTGCATAAACATTCTGTAAGCTTTTTTTCAACTGAGAAGATAACAGCAAAATCTCTTATTATTGCTTTGCAATCAAAGTCGGAAGTATCGATGAGAAAATTTTGTCAAAAAATTTGTTGCATTTGTTTACCGATGATAATTTTTTTTCCTCAACTGGTCCCAACTTCGATTATAAATTCATCTAATTCCAACACCGACCAGCAGTGTCCGGCAAAGAATCTTCTCAGCTAAAGCATGCAGTCTACCATCGCCTGTCTTCTAACAGTTTTACTAATCGGTTCAATTACTGTAAGTGAAAGAAAACACTAGAATTTATTTATATTAAAACCTTACATTCTGTTAGTTGAATAGCACCACTAATCAGAGGTCAAGAATGATATCTGCTTATTTAGGCTTTACCAATTCCTAACCCAAATGACAATTTTATTGATCTTAAAGCAAAGAATATTTCGCTTGTAAAAAGGTTGGTTGGCTTTAGTGGAATAGAGTCAGTAAGCTAACGCAGCATTTTTTTTAAAACTAGTTCGCTTTTTAAAATCTTAAAAAAATTTTTTTTTGCTTTTTTTTGCTTTAATTTTTTACAGTTATTTGTTCCGACCAAACGTTCTTACAGGGAATGTTGCTGTTGCTGCTGTCAACCGCAGTCCTCCAGTCAATCATCGCAGAGCTTTTGTCAGGTCCAGCAACAACAGCAGCCCGTAAGCACACCTCAGAATCAACAATCACAGCAATGCTTCTGCTGCATAATGCAACCGCAACAACAAAATGGCGGGTCTTCCCAACAGAATTGCCAGGTAAATTTTTTCTTACTGTTCAATAACCGGTTTATAATTATTTCAATAAACATAGCCCACCATGACGTTAATAATAAACCGTAATTTTAGGGTTCATCAGCCGGTGGTCAGTCACAGTACTGCGGTTCCGGCACTGGTTCCAGTCAGCAGATAACTTGTACACTAAGCAGTCCTTCACAGGGAGCTGGCAGTAGCGGTAGCACAGGATATGGCTCACCATCAGAACCTGTAAGCTGTAGGATTCAGCCGTCTCCAGCAAATTGCCAACTACAACCAAAACCAGTGTCAGTTTCGCTTCAACCATCTACTGTAACCTGTCAAATTCAAACCCCACCGATAAACTGCGCAGTAAGAAGTAAAATGACAATTACTACTACTAGCGAAGGTCAGCCAAGTTGCACTTGCTCGTCCGTTGGTACTCCATCCTGTTCTGTTGGCAGCAGCGGCACCCCAACATGTTCCCTTGTTGAATCAGCGCCCCAACAGCAGCAACCTTCACAAAGTGGACAAAATTACTGCTGCTGTTGTTGTCCAATGGGAGGAAATTCAAACTCACAACCGTCATATAACGCCAATTCAGGCTCTTCTCAACAGCTCTGTTGCTGCTGTTGTCCATCTAATTCCGGATGCAAAATGCATGCTTTCCCGATAGTTAAGAAAATGCCGGGTACGAGGTAAAATTTACTGATTTTTAACCAGCTTTCAATTTTAGGTTTTCCAAAATTTAGCTTCAATAACAATTTGAAGTCAATATTAAAAAGGTGAGTTTTTAACAAGTGTTAAACAATAGAGAAATTAAGAATGAAAAAGTGAAGAAAAAAAAATTGAAGCTTTTATGGTTAAAAAAAAAAAAACAAGTTTTTTGCAGGGATTAATGAGTGACTACAAATTAGGTCTACAGGCTTTTCTTAAAGCCCTCAGCCAAGTTTTAACCACGGTATCGCTCAGCGTTAAGTTTACAAACGAAAAATCCTGGAAATCACTTTCAGTCAATCTGAACGAATACATTAGCCAAAAAGTCACTGTAATGTTTGTAAATAATGGTTTAACATTGTGTGGAACTTTATAAAATACAAAAATAAAACAGTTTTATTCATTTTCAAAGTTGCACGCATTACAATAAACAATACGACGTCAGCCAAATACGAAACTGTGTTCAAGAAGAAATTGGTTTCTTTGGTTAATTTTTGGTCATGACAAAACTGGTTATTTGTTCCAGTTTACAAAGCTTACCTCTACGATTCTTTTTTTTTATTAGGTTTTTTGGCTATAATATTTTAGTTTTTTACAGCGATAAACAAAAAATTGCAGCAGGTAAACACAGCGTAAGTAACTCTTGCTTGTTTTTTATTTCTGATTAACCTAACTTTTATACTGCATAGGGTGACTCTGTCTACCGATAGCAACAGCTGATTTGAAGAACTGTCAATGAAGAAATTTGGTTTACACCTAAAGATTCCGAGAACAAATTTTTTGTGGTTAAAATGTTGGTCAAATTGGTAGTAAAACAGAGTTCTGCTTACTAATATCAAAACAAAAGAAAAAAGCATGCGGCTTTTCGCTGATCAAAAAAAAGGTAAAGTTTAAGCTTGTGCGAAAACTTGAAGGATTCAACTAAACAGAGGAGTATTTTTCAAACAGCATTAAGTTTGACAAAATTCTCTCCACATTTGACAATCAGTACATTAGCAGATCTGATTGCATCTAATCATACCTAATTATTGTGTTATTATATTTAATAATACTAGTGTTACAGCTATAGAAATCTATGTTATCCATTCCGGTATCAGATTGAGTGAGAGCAAAATATTGTTATCCAACTGAGAGATATAATTTTAAATTGTACGCAAATAATTCATCAATTGTTTTTTATAAACATTGTAAAAGCAATTTCGAATTGAAAAGAAATTTAAAGTTAAACATTTTTTTCTTCTAAAAGATTTCGAATGTTTAGTTTATGT